AAGCCTCATTCTCTTGCTTTCTGCTCTCCTAAGGAAGAAACAAAAAATAAGAGGTTGAGGTATCAACAGACTCAAATAAAAATAAAAAATAGGAAGTGTGGAGCTTGTGTGTGGTTCACATGGAAAAATCAGTGCTAAATGGCAGAGTAGCAATTTTGAGATTAAATACTACTGGGATTAGAGGGAGGCAAGATAGGGGGACAAAACTCCACAAAAAAAGAGTGACTACCCAGGATAAAATACCTGTCCAAAGGATTTTGAAATACTGAAGCTAAAAGAACAATCAGTGAGAGGGGCTCACCTATTCTGCATATAGAGACATCTGACTATTTCCAGACTGTTGCTGAATTTTTTGTTGAACTCTGATAAAAGATTACAAGCAGTTTACCAAGCAGTTATAAAGCAGTTATCAAGAGAACTTGACACCAGGTGATGTGATCTGGGAGGAGCATTGTTTATCATTTATCCAGGATGAGAGCTCAACAAAGACCCAGCCTGACCATCACGTGCTGCTGCTCCAGCTGTTCTGGAGTGGGGAATGCTCTGTACACTGTGAGGCAGGGGAATGGCAGGGGAATGACAACAACTAACACTATGCAAAATATCTCTCCTCTCTTTTTTCCAGGATCCTTTTCCAGATTTGCTAGCTTTAAAATTCCAAACCCTTTGGTTCTAAAAAGATTCCATCTTCCAGTCTTGCCTCTTTACATGATGCAGTTTTCTTTACCTGAAGTCAAACACCCGGGATTCCACTGATTGCTTTGGTGGTTTGGCACAGCAAGTGCAAATCTTAATCACGCAGCTTGGCATAATGGTATTTTATAATGACTCTGCTCAGCTTGGAATGCAAACACTATACAAAGAAGAAACTTGACAAATCCTGAAAAACCTGTGGATTCAGAAGCTCTGAATATGAAAATACAGGAGCCTGGTAATTTCACAGCAGTCTTGGTGCCACCATCACAACTTCACAGTACCCATGACAACAACTGGTCTTATTTTACAATAGACATTACTTTTGCATGCCATTACATAAAAGAGGAGTTGGAATCGCTCAAGAGTTATGTTTGACAAGTGGTTTTCAGGCTGATTGCTTACTAAAAGAAGCACTTCAGGTTTTTATCAAATGATTTAAAAAGTAGGAAAAATCCGGAAGCTCTATGTTGAAATTATCTCTACAGATGCAGACTTGAGCTCTTCCCTTACAAGCCAAGACAAACCATATGACAATAATCTCATGCGTTTAATATTTGCTTCCTTAAGTAAGGCAGGAAAAAACTTCATGTGCTAATCAAGTCTCCAGTTATCCTCCACAGCATTTAAAGGAAAAATCTATTCCTGGTTGTACTGACCTTGACAAACTTTTTAATTGAAGTGCATGCAAAACATCTGTGCAGGTTTCTCCCTTAGGCTGAGAAAACTCAGCTATGAGAAAATAACTTAGTGAACTTACAGACTGACTATCTGGAGGAAGGCTTCCTGTGTGGGGAGTTAATGTAAAACCAGCATTTTCAAACAAGAATCCTTATTCTTTTGTACATTTTAAGATAGAAATCTTAAACCAGAGACTACCCTCATAATTACAGGCAATTAAGAGAAGATTCTATAAAATAACCTGAAAATAACCAGGTCATTTCTAAATAGGTGTCAAGACTGAACTGTTGAACAGATGGAGTGTTTCTCTTGATGTTTCCACCTAGATCTGAAACAGCAGATTGTAATGGTTTTAAGAAACATACAACAAACAGAAGAAAAGGAGGAATATAACAGGAGTGAAATACATTCCAAATCACAGGAGCATGTTGGATTACAAAGGATGACATGGAGCACAACACTCAGTTTCAGTGTGAGCTTTAACTGATGGAGAAGCAAAGAATTCAGCACAATTATATTAGGATCAAAAGTTTCCATACAATGAAAACCTATAGGCAAATCTTTTCAGTTTTTTAAAAGAAAGATTATTTTTTCCCCAAAACCATCAATAACTGCTATTGATTTTTGGGTTTGATTTGTGAGAATACTACTTCTCACAGCCTCTCTATGCAGGTTGTTGTTGGTAAAGGGCTCTATACTGCAAACACAAGCAAGATATCTGGCATCTGGGTACACTTGGTTTTCTTCCTAGAGTACTGAAGTAGTATTGATGCAAGCATTGACACTGTGTATATAAAATTATGAGAAAAAAAATATTAAACACTACAGTCTGGATTGCAAAGCAAAGGCATTTGGAATTCTTGTTGCCTGTGTCAGCTTCATCCAACCTTCTTGGGTGTTCATGTGGCCAGAACATCTGCAATTATGTCCTATCTGCTTTTTTTTGCTGTAGGATTCCACACAGGGATGCCCATCTGACAAACAGCTCTTTGCTGCTTTGTCTTGACATCATCCCATGCTCAGCTGTTCTTTACTCAATGCACACTCTTCAAAAAGTGACCTTCATACAGAATTATTTTCTTACAGATTTTTGCTGTTAGCACCCAAAACCATTCAGAAGTTCATCTTTTCACTGGTGCATTCTACAAATGAGTAAATAATGCAGGGAGTGAGCAGCAGTGACACCAGGACACTCTGTAGCCCTGGGTGTGCAGCTCAAGGCATCTCCAGAGCCCAGCAGCACAAGCACAAGTTATTCTATGTGCCCCTTAACATCCCTCTGTGAGTGTTAACAGCTGACAGACTCCAGGTGGAATTCCATAAAGGGAATCCTCAGTGACCAACTGTGAATTCCAACCTTTTTTACAATACTCTCCTGTGTTAGAGAACCCTAATATTTCCTAAATGAATCCCTGAAATGGCACTGGTGGGGCAGAAATCCTGAAATGTAATCAAAATGTGTCAGCACTGGGCAATGGTGCTTTTATTTCAGTGCTTTGGAACAGCTGACCTTCCAACTTCACTAGCATTGCTTTGAGGTAGCTTTTTAAGACCCAAAACAAGCCCTGGAATGCTATCATGGAGCATGCTGTAACAGGGGGTTTGAACCACCAGGTACCTGTAGGAATGAATAAAACCCTCCTGCCTCGTAGGATATGGGGCCGGAACAGCTCTCAGCATGAATTTTCACACACAGGGACATTTACGCTGAAATATGGGATGCTTCAGACACCAAGATTTGTGTCAGAGCAGTCCTAAAGAAGGCAGTGGTACCACATCTCAAGGTGGAAAGGTCAGAAAAGAGGGCAGACTTTGCCCTGGTAGCTGTGCAATATAAAATCCAGAAGGTGGCAGCAAATATTCTTCCTTACAAGAAATAAACAGTTTATTCCAAGGAAATCTAAAATGTCTAAGGCCAAAAGTTTCAGACATTTGCTTTCTATAGGCATAAATGGGCTGTATTTTGAGAACTGCACATGGATAAAGATTAAATGATAATGAAAAGTTGATTTTCTTTCATTTTGCAGAGGTGCAAAGTGAGCCAACTAAATAATTTACAGCAAATTAGCAGTAGTCTTATGTCTTTTAACCACACAGGCATTTTGCAGTAGTGAAGGCCTAATTCTAATCATTTACTTTCCTCTTCTCCCATTACTTGACAACTAAAAAGGACTTAATTTTCCAAAGTAAAATTTGTCACAAATTTTGTCACAAAGCTTATGTGAGTTGCCACAAGAACTTATGTGAGATGGCTGACAGTAACTGCTTCATTCTTTTGAATTCTTCTCACCTGAAATAACACCACATTTAGAAACAATCTGAATTTAGAATAAATTAGATTCCAGTCCAAAAATTCCCTATAAATTTTCAGAATCAAGCCCTGAAAAGACAGCTTTGAGGAAGTCAGGATCAGGCCTGAACTATGTGATTCTAATCTATTCCTGGTCTCAGTACAGCCACTGACAAGGTTTTAGTTGTTAGACAGGTGACATTCCCTTCTTCCCTAGCCATTAGCCAAATTTCTTCATTCCCATTTTAGTCAACTGTAAAATAATTCTAGAGTTTGAAATAAAGATTATTTTCCCATTTTATTTCAAAATTTTTGGTAGCTGTATTGTAAAATAGCTGTAGCATTTCCTGCAGAGCTGGCAGCATTTCAGAGAGAAATTACTTTTTCATTACATAAAATTTATTAAATTCTTTGGGACAAAAAAAAAACCCAAACTATAATAATATTTACAATATGTCTCCCATACTCAGTTAAGAAAGCTGAAGAGCTTCTTTCATGTTAAAAAAAATGGAAAGAAAAAAATAACTTTAAGGCATAAAAATTCATTATAATTTATTTTGTCCTATCATTTTCCCAGTGATTTAGTCTCTAACTGCAGTGGCCATTACAAGCCCATCCAGGTGCTATTGTTAATGCAGATTTTAATGTGCTTTGATATGGGATTAAGGACCAGGACCATAATGAAAAGATAAAAATAAAACTGCTTTAATGGCTTAGATATCAAGGTTTAATTTTTTCAAGTGACTTCATTAGGGAGGAGTTTATGTGGAGAGAGTTTCACTGGACTATCCAGAGTCCAACCCACTTTTGTCTCATTGACTAGAATGAGACAAAAATGAGCTGTGACATGTAAACACACACAGCTGCTGGGAAATCATTTCACTAAGTAGTATTATGCATTCTTATTTAGACTGGAAAAGAAAAAAAAAAACACCTTTCTGCTCCTGCCTTTAAAATTTGCACTATTTTATGAACCTAAGTATTGTTCTTCTTTGTCTTTGAGCTTTACATAATTAACAAGAAAATTGAAATTGCTCTAAATTACAAATAACCCATTTCTCCTGACCATTGATTAAGACATTATTGAATCAAACAGTCACACTCATCCATCTTACATTAACTAGGTCTATACCTGCACACACCTAAGTACTGCTTTTACATTTGTTTGCTTATATATGGAAATAGTTACTTTTGCAAGTAATATTATATAAATTTTAATTTATATTGACATACATCTTGTAAATATCAGAGATTCTTGCAGTGCCATAAATGTTTGCTTTAGTGAGCAGTTTATAACTAGTTTGCATTTTCAAAATCAGTGTTAATCTAAACCTACCTAAACAGTTTAATCTGTTTGCACAGACACCCAAAGCACCCAGCAGCTGTCAGGATTCTGTGATTGCAAAGGACAGCTCTAAATAGCCTTTCTTCTTCTTCTTCTTTACATTTAGGAATCACTTTCCCTTCAATAACTATTGTAGAAAAGGATTTTTCCTCTGAAAACACCCAGGAACTGGAAAAGAAAAAATTAATCCATTAACAAATTAACAAATTAATTTAGTGTAGAGAGATCTAGCTTATCTTACTGCATAATAATTCAACATTCTGTTGAATGTTTTACCAGAAGATTACAGGAATACAAAATGTGATAAAGTAATAATTCTGGTAACATTTCATTTTTCTCTCCTCCCTTGATTTCTCAGGTGAAGTATGGAAAATCTCTACCCCTCTTTTTATTTTCTTATAGCTTAAAGGAGACAGAGGGGAGAGTAATTATTCTCTATTTATGCTTCATATTTTCCACTATGTCTGGGGTTTGTGCATTGTTTCTAGTACATACTTGTCAACAGATGTATCTCCAAGATTTAAATATAAAGAGGAAATATTAGAAAGTATTAGCATGTCTGGCTGCTGCTGTCCAGCAGATGAATGACAAATTCTAGTGACTGGAAGTTGCTCTAATTCCAGAATCTGTGTTTGTTAGCTGAACACCAAAGTAATCTGTTAATTAATAAGTGGGGATCTCTCTTAACTTCTTCCTCAAATTCCTTCAGACCCTGATGGAACGGACAAGGTTCTTCCCATATACTTCAGCCTTCTTCCAGGTGAATCATCTTCTGGAATGTAATTTACCCTCACAGGTTTTGTCCTCTCCCAATCCAAGAAGATAAATATTAGTTAGACCCATACACTGTTCAGTCCTTACTTCATGGAAGCAGAGATTATCCTTGCTTTACCAAAGCCAGAGGAAACAGATGTGCTTTTTCACATTTTGGAATTTGAAAGTTAAAACACAGCTTATTTATCATAGGTAATATTAAAAGTCTTTAGAATTCTTTTCTAAAAACAAGCTATCAAGCAGGAAATGGAAGCCCACACCAGAACTTCTACCTAAATAATACAAGAGAATGATTCATTTTTTATAAAACCCTATCAACTAAGTGAAACACACTTAATAACTCATCACTCTCTGATTAAACTCTATCAAAGAAAATCAGTTCCTGCTTTATAACTTATGGTTACACCAAAAAGATACTTCCATAACTTGATGAACTCTGGAGTTTTTTCTCTGAATAGGACAGATAAACAGTAGCTTCATTTAAATGTCTTGAAAAGCCAGATAATTTATCCAACACTTGTTTCAACAGTATAACTTCCCTCTGCATCTCTGAAGTCCTACAAAGTACTCACAGGGATTTGAACTGGAATTTCCACTGAAAAAGGGTAACTTTTCTGTTCTAGAGCCCTCCTGAGAGGAGCTAACACAAGTAGACTAATGAGGTAAACCTGTTTGATCAACTTCTTCATCCCTTTCCACAACCTTATCTTCTCAATTGCTTTATATTCTCAATTACCACTTAACTTCTTGTGGTTTAGGTTATCTGATTAATTACTAACATGGAGGAGGGGGAATGGATTAATAATGTTGAGGAGTTTCCTCTCTGGAAATGCAAACTGGAAATAGCTGATCATAGCTAAGAGGTGAAAGGATGGTCCTGTCATAAAGCATCAGTTGTGAAACTTGTCAAAACTCTCATGACATAACCTCTGAGTGTCACTACACCTTTTTTAAGAGATTCAGGCTAAATACAAGCAAACTGACTGAAAATGATGAAATCTGAAGTCTCTTCCTCAGTTTCCACCTCTCATACAGAGGGCTGATATTACCGGAAATAAAAACCTGAAGCAGTGGTCATTCAAGTTCCTTAAATGCAGCAAGATCCTGTGGCAGAAAAACTTAAAATGTGCATTTCTGTGTGAATCTTTGCTAGATCAGCTATACCTTGAATGATCACACACCTGGTTGACTGCTCTCTAGCTCATGCTCACAGTGTTTCAAGTTTGGGAAGCTCATTAGGAAAAGTCACACTGGGCAATGTTGTTCAGATTCGATTCTAGCAAAGCCTCTGGCAAAAAGAGCCAGGAATTTCACAGCAGATTTCAGAATTAAAGGCATTTAATCCTGAGGACATGAATCAATGAGTGTAAATCGCTGATTTAGGAACCACCTTTATAGAAGCTCTAAGAACCACATAATTTGTGTGGCACAGAGAGCAGGTCTGCCTTGGGGACAGGCTGTACCTGCTTCATGCGCTGCCAAATGGCTGCTGCAGCAGAACCTTCTCACAAACACAGTTTCTGTTTCAAAGTGCTGCATTACTAAGAAGATTAGGATTTGTCAAAAATGAATGGATTGCTCCTATAAGTGGGTCGGAATGTACTGAAATTCTGAGGGCATTGCCTTTTAAAGAAGCCAAAAGTAGCGTCATGTAAGGATATTAAGTGAATGATTGCATTAACGCCTTTAATTGCTTGTGTTCACTTTTGTGCCACAAAAAGGGGCACAAAAAAAATAGGATAAGTCTAATAATTTCCAAGTAAGAAAAGCCTTTCTTAAAAGGAGATTGCCAAAGATATGTTCTCGGACAGATGTCCTAGACAGAGCCTGTTATCAAATAAATTAGGCTGTGCCTAATGTTAGAAAGAATCTCGTAAACACACACAGAACTGTCACAACATGACTCCCTTCTTCATTAAGAATGGTCTTTTCAGAGCAAGGCACACCAGCTAAGTAGTGGGCAAGCTGCACAGTTGCTAATGCCACTGTACTTTTTCAGGAAAAGCCTGTCTTTGGTCTGCTTACTTTCCTCAAAAATTCCATTCGCTGTGCCTTTGTTCCTGTTTCTTTCTCTGCCTCCTGTCTTTCCAGTAAATTAAAGTTCTAAAAGATACCCGTAGACATAAAAAGGGACTTGCCAGGATGTCACATGCCTTCAGAGTCTTTTGTTCCAGTTTGGAAGTGAAGAGAAAGGGCTTTCTTTCTTGCTGTTTAGTAACTGTATTTGGTATTTTCTCTCCCTAGGGAAGAAGCAGTGGCCGCTCATTATCGCTTCCTGGGAGACCTTCCTCATTCATCCCTCGAGCCATGTCTCCTACTTCTCCTCTTGTGTTTCAGCCCGCCCCTGACTACTTCAGCAAGCCAGACACAGCAGCTGACAAGCCTGGCAAGAGACTGACTCCCTGGGAAGCAGCAGCCAGATCTCCCCTTGGCCTGGTGGATGAAGCATTTGGTCCCCAAAGCATGCAGGAATCCATTGCTGCTAACGTGGTGTCGGCTGCTCGCAGGAAAACGCTTCCTGAGCCACCAGATGAATGGAAACTTAAAGTTTCTTACGAGCCTCCAGCCCCCAGTGGTAGCGTAGCCTTACTAGGAGGGAAGCAGTCAGGGGTTCTATCACCCCGAAAAAGCTCCCTGTCTGCCCCCAGCCAGGCTGGCCCTAAGCTGCAGTATCCCTACTGCACTCAGCGCTCCACAACGGATCCTGATATATTATCCATGGATTCCAGGTCTGACTATTTCTTGTCAACAGCTGATTCAAACTACAACCCACAGCCAAGGGGATGGAGGCGTCCAACATGAGCAGCTCAAGGGCCTGGGGCATTTTCCCTTCCTCCAGCTCAGCAAGCCCTTAAGATTTGAGTTGGAGAAGGAAAGTTTATTGCTGGCCTGATGATCTCTGAAGTAAAAAAAAACCGAGGAGACAAAAATGGAATGGAGCACAGTTTTCACAAATCTGCAGCACTAGCAGCCTCTAGAATAGACTCAGTTTTACACCTAAGATAGTTCTGTTTGTCAAAAGGCAAAAACACACATTTCTTGGGGTGAGGGAGGAGATCAAAGTGGGTCAATCCATGTACTCGATGCAAAAATCTAGCAAGGATGTAGAAAGTGACAGAAAAATGCTTGCAGTTTTTACTTCTTAAAACCAAGAAGTATTTTACAGGATCTTGTAGGTTTTCTGAGTATGTTTGACATGAGTTCCAAGTTACTAAACATAGTCACATTTGCATAAGTTCTAATGGAAGTGGAAGACTTTGAAGCAGTGGCTTATTTGCCATATGGTTTTTTTACTGCATTTCTATAATGAGCTAAGAAAGTAAATCCGTGAATATTTTTACTGTGGCAACAGTTAAAATACATCTGTGGCAATGGTACCTGAATCACCACAACATGTAGATACAGGAAATCGTACACAGTCACTCATTTCAGGTGGATTTCAGGACGCTTTCAGTGAAGTTTTACAGCTTGTAATTAACCTGAAAACACCAGGAAGAAAGGCATTGTTAATAGAGATCAATACCATGATACTTGAACAACAAAAGAGATGAGGAGTGTATTTAAACTGGATTGCAAGATATTTTTGTAATAAACTATCCAACAAGTCAGAGGCTGAACAGCCTTTATTTCTCTGTGAAATGCACTATTTGCTGAGCATTTACTGCTCCAGTGCCTGGTAATCCAACTGGCTGAGCAGTTATTTGTGCTTCTGAGGTAGCTCAATGTTTAGAAAGCTTTTGAGTTGTATCTTCAGTTGGGAAGACATAGATAAGTTGTTTAGCAAGGACAGTCCCTGCTCTATGTAGAAATTGGTACGTGACAGAGGGTTTCTGATACGTGGTGCACGGCGCGAGTCTAGGAACAAATATTTGGGTGGTTGGTTATACCTAAGTGATGTTGATGGATCTGAAGGGATGGTGAATAGTTTTTGCTGGTGAGACATACCTTGCACTTGCAGCTTATTTAAACAGTAGAAATATGTGGCTAAAAACGTGTGTATTCCAAGCTTCCTGGGTAGTTTAGGTGTTGTTAAAGCATTAAATGAGCACCCCGAGTTTTACGAAGTGCTGTCAATCCTCCTTATTTTGTGGGGAATTCTTGAAGGATCTGTCAAGCACAGTCAGCTGAAATTACTGCAGAAGCACTGTTAACTATCCTTAGTTGCAGTAAGGCTGTCACTGGGAGTGAAGGGATTATATTAGAAAGAACTAAAGCATATATGTGGTAAGAAAAGATATAGTACAAACTATTCCCATATGCAAAGAATTTTCACTTACAGCAGTTATAAAATGTAACTGGTATGAAGGAGACAGGAAAATTGAATCCAAGTTCATTGGAGCTGGGACATCCCCTGAAAGCAAATAATTACAGGAAAAATATAGCCTT